TTTAATTAAAGGTGGCAAGCTTATGCAAAGCATACGTGGCTTGAGTAATAATAATAGTAATAGCGAATGTGATTGTTATCTAGGCACTTCCCACCGTGTTCAGCGCTGTCCGCTTAAGAAAAAAAATGTAAAATTGTACAAACGATAGACAAACTTCGCAATAAAGAAGGACAGGGGTCAAAATAAACATGCCAATCTTTGGTTAGGTAATGAAAGCCCCTGCCAACTCTCTCGTAGCGGTAGTTATCGAAGAATGAAAAAGAAACAAAAAAAACCAATTCAAAGGAGTAAACTAGACGATACATTACGCAATATACATTGTGTCGAACAGCGGGGCGTTATCCAAAACATCACGTGAAGTGACTCTCTATTCAAAAATCTCTACATATGTCTATCGCGCATGTCAAATGCAGTGAAACTTCTAGAAAGTCATACAAGACAGGTTATCTGTAGACAAAAACGTGATAACAAGAGAGACACGTGCCCCCTAACGACCCCTCAATTAATCAAACTTTAAAACATGTTGACTGGTTCAGGTATCAAAGCAAGAGATAGTAAATTCCCACATCGATCCACGATCTTTTCTAATTGGATGCAGATGCCGTCCGTTACTGCCGGCGCAAGAGCAGAATATTTCAAAATTCGAACTAAACTTGGCAGAATGTTTATTTCGAGTCATTCGTGAGAAAATTAACGATATCTAAATCCTTGTTAGGAATTAGCTAACTGTACAAGGATAAAGATTTGGGTCAATTAAACTTATGGTTTCGTGATGCTTCACATTCTTTTGTTAAAGTTATAAGAGCATCGTATAGTGTAAGAATTGAAACTTTAAGATAATAATTAATAGGCATCCTTGCTACATAAAAGATAAAAGATAAAACTATTTCTTGAGATAACGCGCTAATGTTCTGGTTTTTTGGCAGTGACACAAGGTTTGATCTTTCACGGTTTCAACAACCATTTCGTTATATAAAATGTATATTTTTTTTTTTGGTAAAATTACATAATGACGGAGGTAATGGCTGTTAATGAATACCAGAAAAATTAAGCGGCCACTGGTAAGGTAAATTAAAACACACAATAACGATTTCACAAAGCAATTGCTGGTGCGAAGGCTATCGGCTACGTGCGCCAAGGTACACTATATTTTTATGTAAGCGCCTGTTTACAAACAAATTTGCACCGTAATTTTCACACAGAAACGCGACGTATTTTTAAAGAATTTGGACAGCGATTGTACGCAAATGAAGTCCATAAAATAGATGATTATGGCTAATCGTTACTTCAATCGTGAACGCACTGACACGAAATGGAAGAGAAATGAAAGCAAACCTTTCTCCAAGCCTTTCAAAGTGATCCCTGGTATTAGAAGCCATGGTTTTCTTTCCAGGTTAAGAGGTTGTTGTAACAAGAGAGTTTTTAAAATTTACTGAGTATAGTACTTCCGTTCTTGACCCGATTTCCAGAAATTCAATGTAAGATCGACGATCGCTGATGAAGAAAACTGAAAAACTCCAATTTTTCAGTATCGAAACGGTAGATCGTTTGCTTTGTCATGCACACGACGAAAACCACAAAACCGTTCTTGTTGCACATCTGGTTTTGATGTGCATCGCTAGGTTTTCACACGGCTGAATAAAGCGAAATTGTTCTTTGCTATCAAAAGAACACAACAATATCGTCTTTGAATACTGTCCCTGTGAAACACTTTCAAACCAGTGAGTTCTTCACATATATAACCGGTCCAAAATTATAGATGAAGTTTTGTTTATGCGAAAAAAACTAGATCTTCCCTCCGGAAGGTTTTCGCGGCGGAATTAGAGGCGAAGATTCAATTTGACATGAAATACATGATGTATGTCATGTCTCGTTTCGGCCAGTTCCAAAAGCGTTCTAGAAAGTTCCACGCCAAAACAACGACCCGCGAACGAAGGTTTAGTGCATATGTTATCTCGCATTCGACCTGTCTCCTCAAAGCTGTTTGCATAAGAAATCAAACAGGTCTAATGTTTCAGCAAACAGCTCAAAACGCAAAGGCGAATGTTCTGGAAGCGGAAAATAAAGACAAACAATTGCTAGGGGCAAGTACACTTCGCCTGCACGAAAATAAAAATTTAATTAGAAAGCTTAACACCGAAAAAGGTGTTTAGGAAAACTAAGACCGCAGCGGTAAATTAGAAAAAAATTCGAGCGCGATCCCCTTGAATGAGGGAGAACAAAAACAAATTAAATGTGGAACTTAATTTCATTACCATATTTTTTTCCGCAAAATTATGCACTGGTAATATTGGGGAGACGGTCAGCTTTCGAAATAGCCTTAAGTTTCTAGAGCAATTATCCGGGATTATTTGGAAGATTAATTTTCATATCAGGAAAATTTATTTTAGAGCCTTCCACTCTGTTATGAAAAAAAAAAAAAATTAAAAAAAAAATTAAAAAAAAAAAGTTGAGGAAAATTCCGTCTGGTTTTCAAGATGCTCACTTCTTGTTTCCAAAGAAAAGTAACATACTTGTACATGGTTCGATACTTTTATCATTAGTATTGGATTTTCAGCTGACGAAACAGAATTTAATTTTCTTACGCCGAAAAGTTGGGAATGCACGGCTTTATTGACCTAATAACTCTCACATATATAAATGGTGATAAGCTGTCACTCGAAAAGAAAAAAAGAAAAAAATTCAGACATCTATTTTTGTAGAAGTAAAAAAAAAAAGGGGTACGAATTTTTGGATCGGGTATCTACTTAATTACAAAGATGAGCCAAAAGGACTTATGTAAGTGTCACCGCAAACGACTCCAAGATCGCGAGCTTTTCTTTCGTCAAAGAGGCTTGAAAATCGATCATCACCACTGGATGGATTAAATTGATTGAGCTCGGGGATTATGGTACATTAGAAGATTTAAGGAAAAAATTACCGACTTACACCTCAACAAGATCATAATTCAAAAGTTAGATCCTATTAATTTACATGAGGCAAACAAGAACTCCAGGAAAGCCGGACAGAAGTTTTCGAAAGCACTAGAACAAAAAATAACAAAGAAACAATTCCTTATGGAAGGTTCTGGATAGAAAATAAGTACATTTTAAAGGATTTCGTGCACGAATCCTACTGTTAGACGCAAACGGGAGACAAAGTAGGATTGCAATTGGAAAACAATAAAGAGATTAGAGGAATAACCAACTTAACCCACGCGACCCGTGCGAGATGAAGATCGACTTATCAAGTGTCTGAAAATTCTCTCAATACAAGAAAGCTGTCGAGTTTTGGTTGCACAGAACTTTTCGAGGAAAAGCCAAGAGCAAAGCAACCAAGATTTCTTGTTTCAGCCTCAAGGCAAATTCGATGTATCTGCGAATTCGCATGCTTTCGTAAAACCAACCATCGTAAAACTTAGTTTTAGGGTCTGCTCGCAATTTGACTCAACGTGAAATGAATTACATTTTCAATGCAAGAGAACGAGTACAGTCCTCGTAGTTTAAGTTTTGGAATTAATATGATTTGGAAACTTTATGCACAACCTGAAAACTATAAGAAGTCACCAATTGAAGAGAAAATTTTCTGAGTGTGTAAGTTTGGATGAAGCTGGTGTTTTGCACGTGTCTAAGTGAGGAATACACAAACACCGCTCTTGTCAATCGAGAAATGAACTGAAAAAAATACAAAGAACTACAAAAACAAAGCAACATGAAAACAAAAAATAAAATAGCGACATTATATTACAACCCGCAATAACCTGCTTTATGGTAAGTATTTTGTTTCCTTTTTGTTTCCTTTTCATGTTTCATCTCGTGTAATTTTGGTTTTCAAGGAATTCATTCTACACCTTTCAACATTTCGTAACCTCCCACACGCTTAATGCTAACTGTAATGTTTTGTATCTTTCTAGCTTCTTCAGACACATCGTGATACCAAAAAAAAAAAAAAATGAAAAAGAAACGTGATGTTTCGCATTCTTGTGATGACAGAATCAGTGATCGAGGTCGACGAGCTGAACTGGTAGTTAAAAGCTATTTCGCAGTCATCCCAATTGCGACTTCGGAGAGCTTATGCGGTCGGAACATCAATATGAAACAAAACCAGTTCACAATAAAGAAACGACACACGATTTCAGGAGAACAACTATAGAGTAAAGCGATCTTTTGAGGCGAAAACGCAACAACCATCATGGAAGTAAGCAAAGAAGGTCATATTAAATAACTTTCTATTTATAACGGCGACCAAATTTATTCGATATGCATCGAAGGCGGCCAGATGGCGGACAAGAAGTACCCATCTAAAACTCATAAAACCCATACAATTTGAGATCTTGCGGTCCAACTGTGATGTTATATCGTTAGATCGTTCGAGAAAGAATTAATAAAACTCACACAACAATGAAAAAAGAAATTATGATAATCTGGACGATAATCAAAGCGGTTTTTAGCACAGCAATGAGACTTTGATCGACGACGTAAACTAATCTGTCAGCTATATAACGCGTCTTCCTGAACAACCCGCTGTCACTACAAAATTTGCCCATCTGAATTAAAATAATAATTGACAATATTTCGAAACCAGCTGGGTCGAGGTTGAAGGAGTTTTAACTGTTAACCGACAGCAGGAACATTTTTGTTTATCATATAAACAAGCTAAGTGTCGCTAAAAATATAATCTTATTGCTTAGCTGACAGGTTGAAAATCCCTCGACCCACGATATAAAGTTCCAGAAGTTTCCAACTCGTGGATTTTAACATAATAATGACCACCTACAATGATAGTAATAATAGCGACGAAAGCAGCTTAGTAATTGCTTTTTTCATAGATCTTTTGGCTTGATATGAAAATGAGCAATTTCTGAACCGCCAAAAATACGCAATATCGGTCATAAGCGAGATTCTATGGCTAAAAATTTCACCCAGAAAAACAATCGATCGCCTAAGTGCTCAAAGTCCTTATTTTTAATATTATTCGTCGAAACACATACTTGTAAGCTATTTGAGAAATAGGCATCAGTGTCACTTGAGGAAGGAAACGAATTAAAATCCGCTAAAAGTATATTTAAGCACTGAACTAAATATGAAAGCAAAGATTTGCAACGTACACGTTTGTTTTCTTGTCTGCTTAGAATAAAAATTGGCTTTTGGTTAAAGAGGAATCACTTCCGCACCACATGCTGTGGAAACCTAAAAGTTGAATCGCTTTCACGATCTCGCAGATATGCAGAGAACATTCTGGAACTCTTAAAGGTAGCCACTATTGCCAATTAAACGAGAAAGGCGAGTAACAAACACGAAATCCATTTGGACATAATTTCCTCCGCTATTTCTATCTTAAGTGGTATTCGTGCTAATTTGATTCCCTGCTGCACGAACGTAAATTAAACTCAAAAAAGCTTCACGCGCGAGGAACGTTCTCTTATGGTTCAAGAATTACGTGCGCTCTTTCAACAGAACAATTTTAAGAGGTTCACATTTTAATCTAAAACAGCTTGTTTTCAAAAGCACTAAAACACTGCTTTTTAAAATGAGCATCAGTAGACTTGTTGTATGATTTTAGAGAAGTATCTGTTCGGAAAAGTACGAAGTACCAATTCTTCCGATGCGTTACTGTCATAAAAAGTTGCAAATGTATTAAACATGATCGTTTAATATACATAAACTAAACAATTTGAAATCATGACAGAACGTTGTCACCTATGAAAATCTTCTATATATTCTCCACCAACCAAACTTATGCATTGAAATCGCTGAAATTACACAATCAAACACCGAATATCTGAATATAAAGAGAAAAATATAAATGCGGCTTTTGAAGAGGGTATTCAAAATGAAAGATTCTCGGAATTCTTTTTATGAACAGTCTAGTTTCTTGGCACTCATTGACGAAAATGAAGTGCTTTTGAATAACTTATTGCTGAAATTAATCTTCTGTTGGACACAAGAAAATCATTAAAACAAAGAAAAGATCTGAAATCACAACATACCTTCCACCCTTAATGTGATTCATCACTGTATCTGAAATAAAGAGGAAAATAATTTAAACTGTGTAGGTATAAACAGGCCACACTAGGCAATGTCCAATGATTGAAACTTAAGATATACGATTTATGTAAAACCAAAGAGAAATCATAAATATTCATTTTTTTTTTTATATAAACCGATCATACATACGTAATTAGACAGTCGAAGCCCCGCGTTCTGATTCTTTACTATGGTATCAAAGCCATCTTAGTTGCTCTTTAAAACACGCTTTGCAAGTGGTTTTTGCGAAAGTCCAATTCTTCAAGGTCGTCTCGCACGACGGAATATGTGACCTGCTCGTCTGGTTTGAATACGAAGCGGTTTTTTTTTTCTTTTTTTAGATTTCATATTTTCGACTCTATGCTTAAATGTAGCTAAACCAATCGTGATTACACAAACGACTTAACTTCTGTCACAAACTAGAGACAAAATGCAGTTATCTCACGAATGCCAGTAGCATTAAGGTCATGTTTGAGAGTCGACCGAGAATAGTACACGACAATAAAACTGTCTTCGGCGTGGGCGTGAGTTCCAAAATAAATTCAGGCTGTTTGCAATTTATTGACACTCTTTTAGTAGGAAGCGCGAGGATGAAACGAACGTGGACTGAAAAGAGACCGCCAAGGCTTAGGAAGATACGACAACAGAACTTTGTTCTAGAGGTTGTTACAAAGTCTGCACGAAAGAAATCCAATTTCAATTTTAGCCCACGAACTATTCGAAAATGATATTTCCTTTATGTACTGGAAGAAGTTTGCATGTAGGATTGAAAGTTTTTAAGTGTAAAAGCCGTATTGAAGCAATTGCAATGATTGCAAAGAAATAAAAATTAAATAAACATATCACCGAGAAAAGGTCCGTCAAAAACCTGAAAGCAAACCTGAGACAGATGGAAGCGCCTCGCAGTTATCATCACTATCAGCTGGAGCTGTAGCCATTTTATCGAAATGACTTCTCGACTGCAGCAGTTCTGAATCTTAGAGCTATGAGCGGAGCGCGCGTTTACTCATGTTCGGAGAATATGCACAACCCAAACCGCAACGATATCAGAAGCAAATCTGCTGAATGAACCCGATCAGCACTATTATACCACAAAGGAAGTAGAAAGAAAATTCTAGAAGGACATCTGCGCATCTCTTAAACGTCTTAATTGGCAGCTCTTAGCACACCTTGCCTCGGGTTTGTTATGTTAGGGGAGCTCACGTGCAAGTTGCATAATTTAACTATTCTATACAGTTATGTTGTCTATCAATCACTCTCTGTGCCGCGTGCATGTGTTCAGAAGTCACCAGAACCGAGCAGGAAAGCCTTTGCTATACCTCATCCAAGAAGAACGGAAACACTGGTTCCTAGTTAGTTCGCTGCTTAGTCCAGGCGTGACCAGACTCGCAAAATCGTTATTGATAGTAATTTCGAAAGCAATGTTTACAGGAAAAGGGGAAAAAATAATAAAAACATCTGTGTGCATGTTTATTCCAGAGTCGACACATACAGGAGAAAAATCTACATATTCGCCCTAAAGATCAAATCCTAACATCAACAAGATTGTTCTGTATAATGCTGTTTCAAGTCTTTCAAAATCTTCTTTGATCTCACAATTATCCCTGCTCTGCTTAGATTTGTTGCTTTCTCTTTGATGCTTCACGGCTTTTTCATTTTGCTAGCTTAAAGGTTACTTTGAGATCAAAAATTTTATCGAAAGGACTTTCGAGTCATGAATGTTCTTTCCTTTTGACCCAAAGAATTATACCGATATCAGTGCAAATCAATGCAAAGTCCGTACGAGCCAAAATTTAAATTAAAAAAAAAAAAACAATTCGAAACCGAAGGTGATAGATCGATCCGAATTCTTAGAACTTTCTTAGGGCAAAATCTATCGCTATTCTTCGAAAGAATTTATAATAAAATCTACCAAAGATCGATTTTCACTGTCATAAATTACGACTTCTGAAATTCTCTGTCCGCGCTACACTAATTGTTATCACTTCCTGATACCTTTCATCTCAAAAGAATGGCACAAGTTAAAGACAGCAACAGGAAACCAATTCCTTCGGAGGACAGGTCAATCAAAGACAGGGTCGTCTACCGGTCACTGAAAAAATATCCTGTCCTTCTTACCAGGTGTTCAACCCGAAAAGAGCACCCAATACAGCTAAGGTTTGTCGATGCACAAGATGTACAGCGGAACTGTCTTGTATTTATACATGCTTTGTTTGAGATAGGATTTTTCCAATATAATTTTTATTTGAATCGCAAGGAAGTAAGTGGGGAATGATAACTTTGAAATAACACACTCACAAGCATTTGACGATTACTAGTAAGAGTAACATCGAATATTGCTTCTCTTGATTTTCCACCGCCTCAATCTAAGATGAACACATTAGAACAAAACAGTGCGAGTCTACGGTTTTTGTCGCTGTGATGTAAATCTCCGAGTAAAATTTAGGGGCAAAACTTGATTCAACATTCAGCATCTTGATTATTTTTCAATATATTTCTTCTGCATCTCTACTCGCGTGGAATTTTTATTACACACAGTTACATCGTGAATATATCTCATTTTAAAAAATAACTGAGAGATTATTAATGAGCTTTCATTGGTCGATAGGTGTGTTAGAAAATGACTGTGTGCGGCGAAGTTCTAGATTTGAGGGTGAGCTCCGTTTTGTAAAAATAATTGAATACTTCTTCCGTGTTTACATAACCTCACTGAAACACTTGGGTGGTTGGGACAATTCTCGAAAGTTATGCAAACCATCGACTGTGTCTTCAATTTACATACTTTCTAGAATGATCCGAGCCCCTCTCCTGCTACGATGACGCTTGGAAAAGAACACGGAAAAGGGATTCTATTGCTTAAGGGCATTCGATTACATCAAATCAATGAGTATCAAGATTTGTAGGAAATGTATTTTAAATTGTGCACAGTTTTCGCTTCAAAAAGTTGTCTGTAGATCTAAGCGCGAAATCCAACGGTCTGAGGGACCGATACTCGGAGAGGGACGCTAATTACTCCTTTGTCTTACACTGATAGCAAAAGTTGACATCTTTCTTTGCTATTTTGATATAAACAAGAACAGTAAGAGGTACGAGAAAAACGAAATAAACAAGTCAAACAAGCGGCTTATTTCAATAAAATGAAACCAAAATAATCAATCAAAAATGGCCTGACCTTTAGGTGCAAACTGAAGGTCACACAATCGCCCGCTGCAATAAAAAATCAAAAGGAGTTTTGTCCTAACCAAGGCGGATTCCAGACGTAATTGTCTCCTGGCGAGCTCCTAAACGTAATGCGGGCAAAATAATAATGGCAGCCAGTATCTTAAAATGTCCCCTTACTATGACGCTGCAAAAAATACCTATTTTGTTTGATTCTGGAAACAGCTGTGTACGAAAGCAGATTGGATGTTGTTTATTGAAATTACTCCCAGCAACAGATTTCACAACATATACTCATCTCAATATTGGCTTGATAAAGAAAAGCGAATTTTCCAGAGAAACAGATCTATTCTCCACGTGCCTTTGATGAAAATAGTTCTCACAGCTGTTTCCTTTACAGTCAACAAAAATATTGTCATGTTTATGCTGATTGCGAACAATTGAGGAACTATGAGTTAGGCTAAAAACAGATTGTCAAAAAAGGGCAATTCACACAAAGGAGACGTGAATTAGTCCCTTCTTGAATTCAAGTAAAGAAATAAAGTGCCAAACTAGACCAAGCGGTGATGGAAAATCGAGCTTAATAGACCAGTGGAAAAACCAATATCTTAATTGCAACCAACAGGAGAGCTATTCTCTCAAATAATTATCTGCTTTTCTTAGCTTCAAGTGCTATCTCTCCGCGTGGTATCCTTTTAAAGAAGACAAAACAAACTCCACAGCACGATTTCAAAAGCAAAGTTATCGAAGAGTACACCCATTACAAGCCAGAATGTTCTTCAATAGTGCACGACATGAACTTCTACATGGATATTACATTCATAGAGAACGTACATTATTGTAGATAAATATTATCGAGGGCATATTAGGCTGAAGGCACGCTTTTGTGTCATTATATAGCCTTAGAAATCCACCTTTTCTCTTCAAAGAATCCTCTTAATGGCGTTAAGAGCTTTTGTCGCTCTGATCTTTCTAGATTGAAAGGGCAAACTTATTAACGGCAGGTTACCAATAAGATACAAGCAAGCCTACACATTATCTTATCGCGCGCCAGGCCACAACTGATCGATTTTTATAATCTCGTAATTTATCAGTTTATCAGTGTGTTGTCCTTGAGGAATGAAGAAATTAGATCTTTATCAACTCGCGAAAATGACGATCGCAGATCGAGATAAACATGTTCATTGAGTTTCCGAACAAACAAATATCAAAGTAAACTCTAGAACTTTTGTCCGCATACGTCCGGAATTCAAAATCAATCACCCTGCAATCTATTTATTTTCAATTTGGCGAAGGGGCAATTTCCTCAATCACGAATTTTAACTCTGTAATTATTAAGAAGTGTTTCTCGAAGCTACTGTACTTAGCCAAGAGTGAAGCAGTCGTTACCAAATAAACATCAGAGCAATAACAAATAGCTTTAAGGTAAACGCTGAAGCTACTGAAAATGAAATTCGAAGATTTGAATCGCCGAAATGCAAATTTTCCCTCTGAATGCAATTTCTATCTATCTAGAATATATCTACTGACGCAGTAATGACTTGGTGGAAAATTGCCACGCGGACTTCGTGAAATTACTCTGGTGATTTGTCTCTTTGAGTACATTTGTACACTGTAACTTAATTAAACATCAATGACGACTAGCCGAGGAGAAATTACCGTCTAGCACTTTCTAAGATATCGTGGTGTGAATCAATGAATATTACCATCTAACATAACAGTATCAGAGAACGTCTGCTTAGCTAGATCGATTTTGTTTTGCCCTCGAGGTCTTGCGGCTCGTTTTAGCGCCTCTATCGCGTTTGATTATAAAAGAGCGCTAAGTAACCCACCAACCACGCGGGATAGGAAGCAATTTTTTTCCATCTTTTTTAATTTTTAATGTGAAGACAAGGAAAACTATCTTAACGTGGTTTAATTGCCTAGAGACATCGAACGAGAAAGAATAAACTCATAAAAATATAGACAATGTTAAAGGTGAAGAGCAACTGCGATGGAAAACTTCCAAAATGTTGCCTGAATTTTAACAGTAGACAGACCATCACGAGGTAATGATTGTTTGATAATCATTTTGCCGTTCATAGAGACGGTCGCTATTTTTCGCCGGGGGGGGGGGGTAGGGAGGGTCGGGGGGTTTTGGTCGTGTCCCAATAGAATTTATCTAATCCCCCCACAGGTCTCTGTGGTATTCTAATAACGCCCCCACCCCCTCTATGGTAATAAAAGTGAAAATATCAAGTTAAAAATATGTGTAACCAATTGCCTCGATTACAAATGTGAGTTCAACAGAATTTGAAGTATATGAGTTTTCAAAACATCAAGCAGAAGAGCATGTTCTGTGTGACCTTCCGAGCTTCTTTAAATAAAACTTAAGCTTTTTTTTTTTTAATTATGAATAATTGACCCTATCAGGACATCATCTGACCCTCCCCCACTCCCCGCGATTAATAATGAGTGGTCTCTCATTGAAGTTTATATCATTTTGGCGCAAAGTAAAGAGAATCTCAAGAAAAAGTCGACATCTCGCTTACACTCTTATCAATGAAAACTCCTATAGACGTTAACGAGCGAAAGAACCAAGAACTTCACGCAAGGCTTTAATGTTAATCCCGGAGCAACCTTCGTCGATGGTTTTCCGGACAAGCCGACTATTATGATAATCCAAAACAGAAAGCGTTTCCATCGAGCATCATTTGATCAAAATCAAGTAATCAAAACGGCAGATCAGAAAAGGAGAAAGACACAACTCACAGTACATTTAGCCTTAGTAAAAAACGTTACTGATCACGTCGCGATTCAGGGTTTAGTTTCACGTCTGCCAGGTTAGTAGCGCCATTTTTCCTACATAAATGACTGAATAAAGTAAGGTAAAACCAACATGATCCCAGATTTCATTTGACATTCGATTGAAAATTGCTTTAGTAACTTGCGGCCGAACTTACCATGAATTATCGACTCTTTGTAACGGTGTTGGCCACTGCGAACCGCTGCTGAATGTCTTTGTAACGTTTGAGTTCTTGCTGGGAGACAGATGGTGTGAGACTGTCCAAAGCTTTCCGGAAATCCGCTTCCGTAACTTGTATGTCGGTATCATCTAAACGAGGGTCAGCTTCGCCTAAAATACAAAGCAAAGCTATGTATTGACTCATGAAGCTCCCGTGTAGTCTCAACACAAAAATACGCTCATTAACAGAAAGCCAGCACTGTGTCCGTAAGGTACTCTTAAGCTTAGAGGGGGGCGAATATTCCATGCAAGACAAGCGAAAGTATTTAACCCTTTGATCCTTAATGGTGATTAGCATCTAGTTTCTTCCTACATCTAGTTTCTTTAACCTTAAGAGTGACTAGCATCTAATTTCTCCTTACAATATCACTCCTGAATCACACATTAAGGTCATGAGAATATAGGAAATGATCACCAACTAAAGAAGCTGTTGATTGATAGACAAATTCTCCTTTTAAGCACCTAAGAAAATGTATAGAGAACAGTCTGGAGAATATGCATACTGTATGTTAAGTATTCAGACAAGTATGTAAAGGGTTAAGACGAGTATGTAAAGGGCTAAGACGAAAAAATGTGTTGATGGGCCTGCATGACTCCTGAGTTAATCCGTTAACGTACTTTGTAACGCTTCCATAGCATAGCTGTTCCTGTTATTCACGCGACTTTGCATGTCGCTGATTGCATGCGATTTTGTGTCAATGTAGCCAATGATATACAGAAAGTCTGTGCGATGTTATTTGACGATAGTTGGAGACTTAAGGTGACAAGTCAACAGACCATTCATTACCCTTGCGTGTTTAACGCACCGCGCATTTTAGAACAGAGCAACCGATCGAGAAATGGAACTAGAAAAAGGAGCAAAATAATCGAGCACCTTGTGTTTGCAGAAGGTCAGGCGGTTTTAAATTGACATCTGAAATAATCTTCACTACGCACGCTTTGCTGTGAAAATGGTTTTTACCTTGCTCGAGTTCTTCGATCTTTCGCTTAACCGATTGCAATATGGCATCTGAACACAAAGCGTAAAAGTCGGCTCCTGTTAAGTTGGAGGGACAAAGTTCCGCTATGATTTCCAACTGCAAATCAGGGTGTAATTTAAACCTGCAAGAAACGAAAATACACAGCCTTACATCCTTTATCAAAATGGACAGCTTCGAGCAGCTACAATATCCCTAGCTGGAGCTAGACGCCAAAAGATTGATTCTGGAAAGTGAAGAGTAGCCATACTAAAACCCAACTGGAGCACATCGCAACGACAATTCGCTTTTTGCTTAGTGGTACATTTTTTGAAAATCTTTCTCTCGGTGATTATCGCAGCGCTTGGCTTGATTACTTCCCTTAAATATTTTCCTTAACGAATTTGATTGGAAAATATGCTTTTTTTTTTCCCATCGAAAGTGCGAGGCAATAGCGAGTCACACACGCAGGAACGAGCGCGGAAGAGGTCAGCGCGGTAATAACCGCTGACAATTTTTTTTTATATCGTGGACCGCAAAATAAAACGGAAACCATCCCCTCGTTACGTCGCCAACAACAATATCATTCACACAAACCTTCCTATTTACCATCGTTAAATATTCAGTAAGTGGACTTACTTTCTCGTCAGAGCCTTGAGAATGTTGAGCTGTGATCTGCGGTCCTCGCTCACTCCTAGGTACAGTAGTTTATCAAATCGACCAGGTCTCAAAAGCGCTGGGTCTAGAAGGTCAGGTCGGTTTGTAGCCCCAATGACGAATACGTCACATGCTTTGTGAAGCCCGTCAAGCTCAGCGAGCAGCTGCGACACTACTCTGAACAGAATCCCAAAACATTGAAAGAATTAAAATTGAATTTGCTAAAAGACTATGAAACGCTGAGCAATTTCTGACCAACGCTTAGCTGATTGCCGAAACCGCTTTCGCGTTACGTCAAGAAATCCCTCTGCCTCAACACCGTCTCGTCCAATCAAATGCAAAACTAAAACCAATCACAATTTGGTCAGTCGCGCTTTTTCCCGCGCTCCAAGCAGGTTGCTGGGTTCCGCTATGAGACATCACTGGCTCCTTACGATATCTAACAATTGCTCACCGAAGTGGAGGTAAATGTTTACCACTTTCAATGACAATGAGTTGAATCATTGTTTAAGTATATACCACGCAAAAGCCAAAAATCAGTTTTACTTTTGTCAATATACCGAAAAAATGGTCATGTTAAACTCTTGACTTCCGACTTTGTTCCTTCGGCTGTTCAGTGGGGAAGAGTACCAGCTAATCACTTCTGAAATAGCGCGGGCAAAAAGCTCTATTCAGCTGTGTAGTATATATACGTACTAATTTTCAGTGCTCTAACTGGCCGATAAGATTTTTTTAAGTGTTGTCTTCGACACTCAGTTTCCTCAATCGGGAAGTTCTCTACACGCTGATCGCAGCCATGGCAATTAAGTACTTATTTTAAAAAAATACACAATTTTCAAGTGTACCCGCTACAAAGAAAGTGATCTACACCCATCTGTGAGTAAAATATCTGTCAACTGACATATCCGAAAATCGACGATTTTGCCTATCGTACGTTTCGAGCGTACTCGTTAACTATAATCCGTGTGATTACCAGTGAATTCAGCCAATCTAACAGTCAATCTAACAATCTAATTCACTAATTCAGAGCTGAGTGCTCTCCTCAAGCGACGACGAAATTGCAGAACGATTTCCACTGACGATCAAATCGATTTTTGTATAATTAGCTTCGGGGAAATTGTGCTCACTCGCAAACTCACCGATCCATGACTCCTCCAGAGTCCCCACTCCTCCCCCTGTTGGGTGCCAATGAGTCCAGTTCATCGAAGAAGATTACACAAGGCCGTGCACTTTGCGCGCGACTAAACACTTCGCGGACATTCTGTTCACTTTGACCAACATACATGTTGATGAGCTCGGGTCCCTTCACACTGGCAAAGAAAAAATAAGATCGGTGAGAGAATAAATAAATGAGGCAAAGAGGAAACAATTTAAAGACACTTTTCGACGGCTAAAGATGGCAGTTGCGCGGGTCTTTGCCTTATTGCAAGGCCACCCTTGACCAACTTTGCGAGTTCGCCACCTAGAGTTCATCAAGTTCGCCCTTACCTTTACCAGTTCGCCCCACTTCAGGGAGTAGTAGGAAGGGGGGAGGGGGTGCGACCTTGCAATGGGGAGAAACTGTTGGTGACCCAGTTGCACGATACGTACCTTAGAAAGTTTAGAGAACATTCGGTAGCAACAGCTTTGGCCAGTAATGTTTTACCAGTACCAGGCGGACCGTACAACAGCACCCCTGTGAAAAGATATTACGTTAGTTTAAATTTACAAGTGAGGCAACGGCAATGGGCAACAATTAGGATTGCTAAAAGTAAAGTGAAGTGTGAACTTGTGAGAAACTTATTGATAGAACTTTTGTTAGTCGTTGAGAGTCAAGTTTATTTCGTTCTTGCTGAATCCTAGTGTTTCAAAGAGAATGGCTCTTAGACTTTTGAGACAAGGGAATCAAGTGTTTCGGTTTGAGTAACAACAAGTTGTTAAAAGCACGTTTAAGTACACGTATTTAAGGCACAAAATCGTCACAAGTCTTGTCACTTCTTTGGTAAAACTACAGTCAGACCCGATTATTTCAAATTACTCAGCAGTTTTGGTAAATTTTAATTTTGGGATTTAGACGATACGGCAGTAACGATACCTCGGGACCAATTTACAACATATTACTGTACCTGATCTCCTCAGCCCGGCTGCAAACAGCTCTGGATGCTGCAGCGGTAACTGGACAGTGTCCAAGATTTCTGCTTTCACCTCTACCAATCCTCCAACATCTTCCCATTTAACACTTGGTATTTTAGGAGCTCCAATCGCATCTGACAAGGACGACTGAAGCATCTCTAGGGAATCTTCAAAATCCTGCTGGCAAATTTTGCCTCCCATTTTGCTTAGCTCTTGCTCAAATTCCCACGGAAACCAAGTTTGGCTTTTGGTTTCAGTTGAACGCCCCAGTTTCCCAGGGCGCTCCTCTAAGAGGCGCTTTACAGCAGTATTTGCGGCATTTGAAAACAGAGCAACCAAATCTGCCAGCACCAGTCCTGCAGTTCTCCTTGCCAGCGGTTCAAACGGCACCTCATTTCCTACAGAAAGCATCTCAGCAAGTCCCCTAAGCATATCACATCTCTCCTTCTCATTGGGTGCTTCAAGTTTCAGCTCGTGAAGGAAGCATGAGTACATGTCAGAGGTGATGTCATTAGGAGAGGATGATGTCGCTATGACGACTACTGGCCAATCTGAGTCGTCCTTTAGGCTGCTGAGACAATTGAGCATTGTGGCTGCTATTCGTGGTTCGTCGTCATTTCCTTCTTTGTCTTTTCCCAGAGCATGGATGTTGTACAATAACAGGACACAAGGTGAGCAGAAAACAGCTACACAAAAGAAACAAAAAGTATGGTAAAATCAGGCACGCTGATTTACTGTACGGGCCTAATGAGAACCTTACTACACGGACAACAATCACATCTCCTTATAATGATATGTTATGTTCTTTCGCGTGACATCCCATACTAAAACAGTGCCTCCCTTTACTCAAAGGAAATAGTAGGATTGTATTTTAATCAAAGATTGGCAATGAAAAGTTCGATTTACAAGAAGTGTAAGCATTTTTGGGGTCATATGTCTGCACTTGTTTCATCTCACTCAGTCAAGAATTACACCTGTACCTGCGGACATTATTCATCTCCTACAAAATTCCAGTGAACCATCCATGGTCAACCCTCACACAAACCAAGCCCCATTTTAAGAAGATACTCAGATAATTTACTTGGCTTGTCCACCTACATAAAACATTGAATTCTGCCAACAGTTTTTCATTTGACTGGAATTTAACACCCTTGGCTTAGCTTAAGGCACTGTAAGAGTGCCCTGCTAAGGAACCCTACACAAAGTGTCCCTTAGAATGGCAGCTACATGAAAGATAGATAAAGAAGGAAACACAAGTATGAGCTTCCTTGCTCCAAATTACTAAAAGATAGTTGTCCACTTCAAGCAGCAGCACAAAAAGCTAGGCACTTTATTGGCCAAATTTATAATAGAGACATACCTCTTTGGAATACATTTTTCAGTCTTGTCTCTGTAGCTGCCACTGATTCACCAATCAGATCAAAGCAATTGACCTCAAAAGTATGCATGTTCAACCTTTTGCTTGTTGCTATGGCAATCGTCCTCTTTCCAGCTCCAGGAGGGCCAGTTAAGAGAACACTACATGGGGGCAAGGGGTGGGTCTCTCTGGAGCAGAAAGATATAATCAGTTGGTTGTAGTACATTTGTGTACAATCAATGAAAAACAATGAAAACTTTTCTCAAGAAATATTTGTTGAGGTTCATGTATTTGACTCTATCCCGGCCAATGAATGCTTTTCACCTTGGCGAATAGTAAATGATCAGTTTCTTCATTGTAACCCTGAATACACCTAACAACTGTATGCATATTCTCCATAGTGTTCTCTATACATTACCTAAGATTCCAACAAGGAGAATTTGTATATCAATCAAGAGCTTCTTTAGTTGCTGATCATTTCCTTTATTCTCATGACCTTAATGTGTGATTCAGGGGTGATATTGTAATGAGAAATTAGATGGTAATCATTCTCAGAGATTAAAGGCCTAATAATTCAAGAACCTCAAGCCACTGATCTGTACCTGGTATTCAAATGAGGATGTACAATATTGACTAACTCAGCAGTGTAACTGTTCAGCCCAGCAGGATTAAACTGCTCCCAGTAATTCGATCTCAAATCACAGAACTGTCTCCTCCAAACAGGTGGCACATAACTGTGTACTGTGCCTCTCTGAGAAATAAAATGATATAAATATAGCTTTTATCAATAATACAACATATAATTGGCTACAAAAGGCAATCATGTACATATACCAGTAATTTAATTGGTACCAGTGCCTCTGATTTTGCTTTCTTTTCTTGTAATGCTCATATAGATGTAACAGAAAAGAGAGGCACATCTCCTTTTCATGTAAAATAGTTGCACAGAGCTCTCACTGATCATGACCTCTTGAGATGCAAAATGAAAAAAAACAAAAGAAACAAAGAGAAAGAGCAACGTTCCATTTCACCGCAATATTTCTGATTTTACTTCTTTTCAACGACTGTTATCTACTGGGTAAAATAATTTACTTAAAAGGGCAGGAACTGCAAACCTTTCTACATCAAGATGATTTGCTAGTTAGTTGTCTAGGTAGTTAGTTATCCTATTTGTTATAGAATTAGTCTTTTTATTATAATTATTTTATTAATGTAGTTTGCTCGAAGATATTAGCACCTGAGTGCTACACTGTAAATTCGAGGGTAAATAAAGTTTATTGATTGATTGATTGTTCATACATGTATAATAAAATGTTTGATGAGTAAGAGGGGCTACACTGTAAGTCAGAAAGAAAAATATTTGCCTCTTACCCATGATCACAGTATGAACCTCACTGTGCTTTATCTATACTCCATGACCTATGTATTTGTAAAGCTAAATATTTTCCCATCCCATCCATTCAGTCAATGAGTACATTGTACTGGTAGTAATGTATATGAACCATTAGCTGCAACGGTCTTATCCTTTTAAACTTGTATACCAAGTGGACTGAAGCAAAGACCATTGAAACAAACAATAGAAACTTACCTGATAAAGGGAAGTATGTTCTGTGTGCACTAAACAAGATTTTACTTCCTGAGCTGCGCTAACAAGCCTTGTCACTTGAAAGAAAACAACCAGATTTCTGCGTCCCTGATCATCAGGTGAACCCGACTCCTTAGAAAGGTCACCATTTTCTTCCCAATTATGAAACATGTAGAATACATCTCCAACTGTCAACATTCTTGGAGTTTTGAAATGTTTTGCCAATGCATGATCAAAAGAATCCATGGCTTTGTAATAAGGAGAGTGCACCAGGGCAATGTGAGCTTCATTTGCAAATGCAGGTTTTCCACTCATGCTTGCAGTGCTAGTGATCTTGCGTTCTTCCTTCTGTATGGTTTCTGGGATTGGGTAGACATAAATACTAGGCCTTTGGTTTTCATTAAAAAGGCTGTCATGAAACAAGTTAAAGTAGAGTAAAGGGGCGATGTATCCTATTCCATCTTCAATTTTGCCAATTGAATGCACAGGGAAAATTTCACTATTATTCAAAAACTCATTTTCATCATTCTGGGAAGCAGTTACCACAATTTGAACCATATGACACTTCTCACCACTGTGACTGTTGTGTAAAGCATTTGAAGCTTGTTCTGAAGAACCCTGTTCCTGCTGTTGATTACAGACTACATCCTGATTTTGATCAGTGCAGATTTTGACCCAGCTGCCATTGAACATCTGTAGGTCAATCAAAGTTGACAGTGACACAAGGAGCCTGCTTGATGGATCAAATGCCAAATTGCTATGACTTCCTTCATTGAACTCCAAAACACTAGCTTTTAAATGGTTGCCAGGCCTGGTTGAGCTACCAGACAGTGTAAGTGGTTCCCCATAAAGCTGACTCCTGGAGAAGTGGCGTGCAAAATCAGAGACAAGAAACAATTCATTTGCATTGGATGGCACCGCAGGAGGATCCACATCACTAATTTCAGAGTCAAAAATAACATCTTGGTCATTCAGCCTGGATATAACTAAACAAGTTTCTGATGTAAGGCCTCCTTGTACTAGAGGCTTACACTGCAGTATAGACAATTCTAACCACTGCTTTTCCTTGGTTCCACTTAATATTTTACGTTGATCATGAAAGAAATTCAGCTTGCCATTTTCTCGTACATTTATAGGTCCATTTGAAAGACTTTCGCGAAGAAATGCTACTAATGTGCTCTTAGCCCATGAATATCTCTCTTCGGATGAAACGCCAATGACAATTCTCTCCAGTGGAAAAGGGTTCACCCTTTTACACCAAACGATGTCATCAACATGCAGCTGGTGGGTTTGAAGAACGTCTTTAAAAATAAAAACCTTCAAATTTCCATCAGATGGTGGAATTTTTAGATCAGCTTCAGTGAAAGTACAAGCATTCAGTATCACACTCTTCTCTGTAGTGGAATTTTGAAGGCCGTCTCTAATCTCTAAAGCAAACCTCTTTCCTACTTCTTCGATGAATTTAGAGTTACCATTAGCTAAAGAAATGATACCGTCCACGAAGGGAAGATCAGAAGCACAGGTGGAGACAAAATCCTCTTTGGAAATTAGACAAATCACTGCCCTTCGGTAAGTATCGTCCGCCATTTTCCAATGAGCTATGCTGCCTGGCGATGAAGCTCTCATACCAGTCTCCACTCGTCAATGCATTTGTTTTGTCTTTGAAGCTCAATATTTTAGAACATCAGGCAGGTACCACATGTAATTCATGGACTGTATTATCTACGTTATGCAATGCGTTACGCACGTTCCATAGTAGATTTCGAGGGAAGAACAACTTAATGGCCACATATACACTTGGGTTTTCATTCGAATTCTTGTTTGTTTTGATTGCAGTACACATACATTCGCTGTGATGTAATGTTGCAACCGGTCCAATTTTGAGATTTGCGATGTCTGCAGAGAATCTGCAAAAGGAAGAAGTCGAAGAGCCCTTGCTTCAAAAAAATCCTAACAGGTTTGTCTTGTTCCCCTTAAAATTCCCTGACATCTGGGATTTTTACAAGAAAGCTGTCGCCTCATTTTGGACAGTGGAAGAGGTCGACCTCGGATTCGATCTCTTCGACTGGGAAAAGCTGAATTCTCAAGAAAAAGAATTTATATCTCATGTTCTAGCGTTCTTCGCTGCGAGTGATGGCATAGTTGGAGAAAATTTGGTTGAAAGGTTTTACCAGGAGATACAAGTTCCTGAGGCGAGATGTTTCTATGGATTTCAAATTGCAATGGAGAACGTTCACTCAGAAATGTACTGCCTGTTGATTGACACTTATATTAAGGACCGGGATGAGAAACAAAAACTTTTCAATGCTATTGAAACTTTCCCCTGTGTAAAGAAGAAAGCTGAGTGGGCCTTCAAATGGATGAATAAGAACTCTGCTGCAACTTTTGGGGACAGAATTGTGGCCTTTGCTGCTGTGGAGGGGATCTTTTTCTCTGGGGCTTTTGCATCAATTTTCTGGATTAAAAAAAGGGGGCTAATGCCTGGACTTACCTTCTCAAATGAGTTGATATCGAGAGATGAAGGACTTCATTGTGATTTTGCTTGCTTAATTTTTTCACATTTGAGGCAGAGGCCAGGTAAAGATCGTGTTGGTGAGATTCTAAGTGAGGCAGTGACCATAGAGAAAGAATTCTGGATAAGTGCATTACCTTGTCATCTACTTGGAATCAACTGTAACCTCATGGGAAAGTACATAGAGTTTGTAGCCGATAGGCTTTTGGTTGCATTAGGATTCGAAAAACATTACAAAACTGCAAATCCTTTTTCATTTATGGAAAACATTTCATTGGAAGGGAAAGCTAATTTCTATGAGCGTAGAGTTGGAGAGTACCAGAAGAATGGTGTAATGAATGACAGAATGGAAAATTATGTGTTCACTCTTGATGCTGATTTTTAGCCAGTGAGATTTTTTTATTTAATATTTAATAATGTTTGTTTGGTATTAAACCTGGACAATTTGCCACTGTATAAAACCAGTGTAATATTTTGTCCTTAGAAAATGATCCCTTTTAGGTGTTCAGAAAACATGGGCTGGGATCCTCCTTGCCCTCCGTGATACCTGCCCTATGGCCATCTCTATGACTTACCTTAAAATGGATATTTTATGGGAAAGAAAAGAAGGAAAATATTGTTTATGCATATTGATCCACTGTTTGACCCTTTACATCCTAACA